AAAAGCGAGCATGGTGCGGATTGTTGAGACTGTGCGTGTCGCTATACTTATGCGAACCTTTATAAACTGAAACTTAGTCAATACAATGCTGCTGTGTTATTATGTAGGGCCAATCGTTACTTATCGTAGGAGAATATTATATTATGTTTAATATTCATAAAGATTACCATAAAAAATATGTATCTTTTGTTCCTTATCGTATCGGAAGATGAGCGGGTTTAGAACGAAATATATTAGAAAGAATTTCTAGGAAATGTGAAAAATATGAATAAATTTCCGACTTTGTCAAAAGGCGCTTTGCATTGAGGACAATGCCGGAGGGGGGGTATTGCTAGCATTGCCGGATTTCGCACTATTCCGGTAACATATATACCTAAAAGCTTGAGCTAACAATAAGCAACAAGTTTTTGAAAATAGATAACCGTAGGGATCATACTTTATAGGAAGACAATCGAAAATCGATAATGGGATAAGACGACCTACACGACAAGAACAACCAACCCGTTCCCCCTTTAAATACGTGAGAAAAATCGGACAATGCACTTAGGACGTAGAACAAATTGCAACACCTTTATCGTTCTTATAATATATCAATAAATAAAAAGTAACCTAAATATATGAATCCTTTGAATTGTTTAAACCAACGGTCAAAAATATTTGATAATTTACGAATAAAAATTGAATCTGTTCGGAAGCTCCGTAGTGTGCGTGTAACGAAAAAAATTTAAAAAACAAAAAAAAAAAAAGGAGAAGAATAGAGAAAGAGAAAACAATTGTAAGACAAAGGGTGAACAAGTTGGAGGAACGTGACGTGGAAAAAAAAAAAAGAAAAAAAAAAAAAAGAAATTGTTCTCTCGCGAATCGGTTAAAAAAGTCTGGAAAAGTTCGTCGACGTCGACGTCGGCGTCGGCGTCCTGAATCGACGCCGTGAAACGGACGACGATGAGACGGTTAATTACGCGCTAATTAACGTTTCGAAAGATCCTCTCTCTTGCGTTCTCCTTTTTTCCTTACTTCTTCCCTTTCCATTCTCCTTTTCTTTCTCCTTTTCTCTCTTTTCCTATCGCCTCCTAGTAATCTTTACGGACAGGAATGTAATTAGTTTTTCGTCGAATCGATGAGGAATACAACGACGACGACGACGACGACGACGACCGACGACGACGACGTTTTCTATTCTCATAAAAAAAAAAATTAAGGAAAAAAAGTAAAGAAGAAGAAGAGGGAACCTCATAAAACAGTTTTTTACGTGTTAGTTTTACAAAATCTTCAAATGGGAGAATAATATCGAACGTTCGATTAACACGACGATCAAAATCTAAAGATTCTTATGTTTTATATGTTCCTCCCTATACATGTGAGGGTTTTTTTTACAATAATATCTCGAATTTTGGTTTCGTATACATTTCCTTTGTTGAACTAATGAATTATCTTCTTAACCACGTTCACTAGATTTTATAATAGTTGCTTTTACTAGACGAACTACCATGGAGCATATTTCTCTCTCTCTCTCCCTATACATATATGTAACATGGTTCTATGGCATTAGGAAAAGAGACCATAGCTATTTACAAGATGGTGATGGGGTTGGGTGTTGGTTGACCGAATGTAAAAAGGGTTCTAAAGGAGATTGGTGGTAAAACGTGGAAGGAGGTGATATTCGGGAGATTGAACGCGTCAAGGTAGGAAAACAATAGAACCAAAATGGCAGATAGGAAGGAAAATTGTTGACCTCTCGACGATACCGTTCTCGTATTTGGGAGACTAAAGAATTTATAAAAAAAAATACTCACGGACGGTAGTGTTGGTAGTGGTGTGTGGGGATAGTGATGGTGATGGTGGAAGGGGAAAGAGTAAGGCAGGAATGGGGAACGCGGAGAAAAGAGATTGGCTCTCGCTTTTGCGAGACAATAAAGGAGAGAATCCGAATAATATTTTCTGGCCGCACTTCAACAAAAATAATCTCTTTCCCTCTTTTTCTCTCTTTTTCTCTTGTTCTCCTTTTCTCTTTCTATCTCTATGGGAAGAGGATTAAAGACGACGAGATCTACGTGGCTACCGGTTGGATCTTTCTTTCTTTCTTTCTTTTTTCCATTTTTCTTCTTGTTTTTTCTTTTTTCGAGGAGAAAAATCCGAAAAGCAGGCAAAAATATTCTCACGGTTATATATATATATATGTGTCTTTGTATGCATCTCTATGTGACACGTTGAAAGAAAGAGAATCGTGTTGGAAATTCGGATTAATTCAAGATGTAACAAAAAAAAGAGAATTGGACATTATCCTTTTACAGGTTGAACGTCGATAGGAGTAACCGCGCGGTGACATTTAAAAAGATCCAAACACTGTACTTTCTGATAAAATTAAATTGTAATTAAAACAAGGCAAAACAAAAACAAGGGAAAAAATATAGCAATAAATTATTTTTGTTCGCGACTAGTCTAGTATTCATGAAGAAAAATAAAAAGAAAGAAAAAAAAAATGGTAAAGACGGACAGAGATAGAATTAATCGGGTTAAACGATGAGATTTTCACGAGTGTTCCATATCGTGTTCACCATTCTAAAAAAGAAGAAAACTGACCTTCGACTATTTTTCTTTTTATCTTTGTCTTTGTCATCTCGAGTTTTCTCACAAGTCCAAGGGTCGCTTAAAAGCGTTAAACGACGAATCGACCAGCAGCGAGCCACAGGACGATTAATTTTGCAAATTAAAACGTCCTCGTCAAGAGAGAGAGAGAGAGGAGGAAGAGGCGGAGAGAGAGAATAACCGTTAAAAGAATTGTAATTCTACCATCGTGTCTTACAATATCCTCGCTTTTCCAATTATCCTCTTATTCCAAAGTCCGCCAAGAGCAGATCGTCGTCGTGCTAAGCCATTCTTTGATTTATTCACCAGATTTTGACCTAAGGATCATTCGAGTTATCGGTTTTGCAACAAAATCCTCTTCAACGATTATTATTATATTATATTTCAATGTGAAATACTCTTTCATTTGATTGATCGTTATGATATAACACGCATGAAAAGAAAAATAAATCAAATATAAATAATCATCGATAAATAAAAATAATACTGTTATTAAATTGTATAATATTTGAATAGTAATAATTTAAGATAACAATAATAAATTCCTGTGGGAATGAACTTTAACTCTATCCAACTATAGTGAAAAGTATTAGAAAACTTTGAGAAAAGAAAGAATATCGAGCTTGAGCAAACGATTTGTCAGAGTTTGCCGGGAAAGGGGAAGGGGAGAGTAAAAGCTGAAAAGTACTTCGCGAACGAGGTTGGCTAGCCAAAAGGGTTGATCCTAATATCCCCGAGAATGGGAAAAGAGGAAAAATGAGGGGATAGGGTTGGAGAAATGTAATGGGGTACGCGTTCGAATGCCGATTCGAGCCCGAAAATTGTACCACCTTGCCGTTAATATCCGCCCCATTACGTCACCGTAAGGAATAAATTCTCGTCGTAGAAAAAAAAAAAAAAAAACACTAATTCTTATTCACTTATAATAAAAAATAATATTTAATCGATATATATATGTAAATTAAAATATACATAAATAAAAGTGTTTCCTGCTAATTATTGTTATTTCTTTGTAAAATCGACACGAATTTTGTAAGCAACCGAATATTATGCTACGTTGTAATATAACGATGATTCGTAGAAAATTTTCTTTATACCCAAGAAAACATATTGACGATTCCTTTGCGAAAATCTTCCATCTACGTGGTTTGTAAGATTAATATCTTATTCAACTTCGTTTACTCGATTCAAACTCGAGCCACGAAATCGGGTTAATCGATTTTCAGTTATCTTCTACTTTTATACTTTTTCTTGCCTAAATACATCCCTTGCAACATTCACGATCAATGATCACGTTTGCACGGTCTTATATCTCAAACTTTCAGATCTTTTGCCGTTAGACTCGTTATGCTTGATAAAAGCATAACAAAAGATAAAAAAGGAGAGAAAAATTGTAAATCTCTGAAGTATCGATGTTCGAATAAAACACGATCTGTAGAAGTTATCGCGGTTGGTATCGTAAACGACCGATCAACTTGGCTACATTAATCCCAGGCAAGTCGTAAATCGAGAAAGGTAACCGTTACTCGCCTAAGTAAGCTCATAATCGTTTCGTCTACTCCCTTTGAGAAGAAGAGAACGAGAAAAATAACGAGAGAGATGGAGAGAGTTATAAGGGGGTGAACAGGGCTGAACGAAGGATGCCAAGGAAAATGGGTGGAAGTTCAAAGAAGCGCACGCGCCCTCAAAACTTTCGACAAGTAGTAGACGAAACTACTATTTTGACGTCACAACCCTAGGCGTTTCTATATATATATATATATATATATACACACACACACCCTACTCCTAGTCTGGACCACGAAATAACTTGGATTTGGTATTTAACGTGGTTACTCTCCATACTTCTCATTCAAGTTTCCAAAATGCGCATTTCGAGATCTGTTTTTAAACTTCGAGAACTTCTGTTGTTGTTAAAAAATCAGCCCGCGCGAACATTGATTTGATTAACGTTCGTTTGTTTCTCTTTTATTTATTCTGGAAATTAAAGTACAATTTTTCTCGAGATCATCGATAAATCTTCAATCGAAAAGATTTTCCGTCTGCATAACGAAGAAGAAAAAGAAAAAAAAAAAAAAGACAAATTAATTTAAAAAAGATAAGATTGTAAATTACAATCAAATAATTCTTGAAAAGAGTGGAATCTTTTTTTTTTTCAAATATCTACGATCCTCTACTTCGAAGAGTATTATCTTATCTTTATTTAAAATATCCTGTCGATAATGAGCAATTTCACGTCGATTTTCCTTCGAACGTTTTTGCTTTTTTTTCTTATTCCATCTCATTTCATCGACTATTATTTGATTAATCTTCGATTGAAAAAGGAAAGAAAGAAAAAAAGAAAGAAAGAAAGAAAAAAAGAGATTATTAATCGACTCTCGAACACAAATACGAGTGCCACTACTAGTACATACGTTTGATATATTCGATCCCAAGATTTGTTCATAGCTCTTACTCCCTTTGAGGGAGTAACTTCCTGAATGTGCGACAGGGTCGTCGGGTCGTCACCGAAAAGGTCGCAGTTTAAATCACATGGGCGGGGCTGAAGGTCCTGGATATCAACCAACAGTCGCCATCTGGAAACCGTACCTTGAACTTACCGATTATCGTAGATAGATTTATAAAAAATGTAAAATAAAAAATAAAACCAAGAAAAGAGAAAAAGAAAGAGAGAGTGAACGAGAGAATGCCAGTGGAAGATGGTTGAAAGGAATTGCTTCAATTTTCCATATCAAAGTTTCAAACAGACAATGAAACTCGCTCGTGAATTTCTCTTTCTCTAAAGGATTTTCACTCATCCGTTTTTTTTCTTTTTCTTTTTTTCGCGCAAAAAAAAATATACGATCGCTTGGTGTATGTCCTAAATATTACATTTAACGACGACGTAATATTTTCTAATTTTTCGTTATCGTAGCGAACTTTGTACAAGATGTCGAATTTGATTTCATTATTAGCGATGTTATTAATGGAAAAATGATGATAGGAATAAGTTATATATAAGTACTCACACAAGAAGATAATATTAGATCTGTTCGAAAAGTTTCTTCTTACAAAAGCTTAAGCGTGTAATTATTTCAAGTAAGGACGAGTCATTTCATCGAAGAAAAGAAAATCCATTATAAAGATTATTTAATATAGATATTAATTATAATATATTTTTAAACTTAAATATTGCATATATTTGAAAAGAACAGAAAAATTGTCTTCGAGTTAAGAAATAACAAAAATTCAACACAACTTTTGTAATTGATCTAATAAGTTAATAAAAAAAAACGTTAGAAAAGGTAAACATTTAATCTAGCAAACGAATAAAAAAGGACGTATTTCGTGTAAATGTTAAGGTTAAATATTCTAACGAGTAATAACTTAGAATTGGTCAAGTAAATTTAATCGAATTGAAAATACGTCAATTGGAATATCATTAATAGGAAAGTTCGATTCGAATTCGTGATACTATGCCGATTGGCCACGCATAGTCGATCGATAACGTCCAAGTTCGAAACATTTAATTATCCCGCGGATCCGTTAGAAAATAGCCAATTAACAAGACAATTACAGCCTCCACGCAAATTCACCAACTCCTAATTCGTTTGCGGCATTACTGAACCGTTACTCGCAGCTTCGTTAAAAGTAACCTTCTTGGTTGCATCATCTTTTGTTGCGATCAAAAATACTAACGTAAAATGAAGTGAGTGAAAGAAGAATCTACTTTGATTCTAAAAGAAATAAAACTTGGTGTGATAAAAAAGAAAAAAAGAATAACATAAAATGAAGTGAGTGAAATAATAATTCATATCCGTCACTTTTATTTAAATAATTTAAAAAGAAAAAAGAAAAGTATTAAAAGAAAAAAAAAATTACCTTCCTTATTAAATTAATAAGTATACATATCATAAAATGATCTAAGTGTACAAAGGTGTATAAAACAAAAAAGGAATATTTTGTTATTACAGAAATGAAGGAATCATCTTTATTCTCTTTGTGTGTTCCATGTGCTTGGCACGTGGGTCAAGGGTGAAGAATATCACCCATGGCGTATCAAGACACATTCGATCTATCGGATTTCCCGAGGGTAGCGGTATGGGGGTATAGTAAATCAATCATTCATTTTCCATCGACTAATGCGCCTCAACTTTGTCGGAGAACATCTTGTTTACTCTCTTCATATTGATGTGTCTCCTAGACGTGATTCGTTTATTATCTTTCTCCCCCCTTTCAAATATTATATTTAAGATTTATCTAAATATTTATTAATCATTTCACATTGTAAAAGAAAGATCTGCAAATAAATAAAATCGTACGATCATTTCATTTGTAAAATATAATTGTTTTCAATACATTTGTTAATTATTAGTTGTATTGTCTTAAAAAAGATAAATCGAAATTCTTTCATCTAATATGTGCATTTTTAACGAAGTAAAATGAAGTTTATCTTTTGGTTCCTCTATTTTGAACGTGATCAATGAATTATTAAATAACTATTATATACAGGAGGAACTTAAAAACTATATCTATTATTATAAATGCGATATTTTATTTAGTATTTATTTCATTCGATTTTTGTTTTCAGATATTTTTTGCTCTTGGCGTACCCCTCGATATACCCGATAAATCCATATTATTTTCCTTTTACTTCGAGGCAAATTATGGTCTACCAGGCGATTGGAATTCGAGTTATTACACCGAAGTGGAACATTTGAAAAAGAAACGAAATCTCGATAGACGATTAGCCTACGATATTATATCTAAACAATTAGAAAGGTAATTAGATTACTTTTATTTTTCTACTTTTCTATTTTCTATCCTTAAAATTAATGCGAAATATACACAAGCATCATTTTTCTAAATTAAGAATTAAGGCATTAAGAAATAATCAACATTATTTAGCACAATTATTTTCTATCGTCCTAAATTTTCGCAATGAAAAAAAAGAAACATTGCGATTATTGCACGAATAATACTTACGATTATTGCAATATGCTTTTTAATTAAACTAATTTTTAAATTAATTAATTAAAAAAAAGTATAATATTAATGATAATAATATTAATTTGTTTTTCTTGACAATAGTAATGGCTATTCGAAACAAGATTGTTTGCTGAAAACAATTTGCGAAATTGCTAAATATTCGTTGAATGGTAACGGACTTCTCGGTGATATCATCAGGATTTTATTCGCGTGAGTTTACATTTCAAAATTCTTAATTGACTTTATAAATTGCATTTCAATCCGTTTTTCGAATATACAGGTGTGCGGCAATAGCTCTGCTGTTCGCCTTGAATATCTCCTTTATTTACAATCGTATTAAAAAACTTCAAAGGAAAAAAGTTGCACTATCGCAGAGTGGAAATCTAATGATTAAAAGAATTTTTTCTCAGGGTCATTTTTTCACGAGATTTCGAGATCATCAACGAGTTATATTATAAAAAAAGGAAGATATTCAAAGTAGACAAAATTATTGTCCCACCCTGTATATACATGAATCTTTAATCAACATAAATTGTTTAATCGCATGGTTGCACCTATTCGAAAAGACCTTCTAGCTCGCAAGACGAAAATCTTCCAAATGAGATAATTGAAGCAGAATTCGAAGAAAATTGCAATCGACGTTACAAGGACTGCGCTAAGAGTCTTTTGGATATCATAAGTCCTTTTCTACATTGATAACGTGGAGATAAGGAAAAAAGGAAAATAGGGGAAAAAAAACTTCAATTAAATTATTTGTCGCCTTTTGAAAAGATTTCTGCTAAGTACTACTCCAATATCCTATATTTTTGTTCTCTTTCTTTTAACAACTTTCGAGGACCTCCTTTGCTAAATAATTCCTTTTATATATATGTTATAGGAAAAGTAACACTTGTCGACGTTGTGAGCTTTTCCTAGGCATTACCCACAATGCCTAGGAAAAGCTCACAATCCCGGCAGGTCCCATTTTTCCTATAACATATATAATACAAAAATCACTAATTTATACCGAGTTTAGAATATTTTTGTTTTGGTTCGGAAATCAAGCGAGTATCATTTTCGTAAGAATCAATAATCTCAAAGGTACGACAATTATTATATATATAATAATTTTCTATTTTTTAATTATACTTAATTCTATACTCTGATATAAATTAAATTAAATTATTACCCTGATGAAATTAATTGTTGTATTTATCTTACCTCGACGATATTAAAATTATTTTTTGATAAAATTGTTATTTGTAAAATAAAAAAAAAACTAACTAAAAACTACCTATACGTATAGGTAATGAAATAATCGGAAATAATTTAAGACGCGTATCAACGTAAATGCCAATCATATAACAATTTCAATGTTCTCTATTAAATTTGTCTAATTTGTTGTTACCAATTTTACCTACTGTCGAAGTTATTTCTTTTATCCGTTGGACATCCATTATGTGTACGCAGTCTATGAGTTGAACTTGAGGAAGTGGACAAGATTCTCGTAGACCACAAAAGTTATCACCGTTGCTGGGGTCACTCTGGTAAGGTTGACACTAAGACCCTTGTAAAATCCACGCCAACCTTCATACCTGCAACGAACCACCAGCAATATGTTTTTTTACTCGTCCATAATAATTTTTTCTAATTCTTTCTTTTTTTTTTTTCTTTTACAAAATTTAAACCCGTGTACGATTCTTGACATTCAGAATCAGTCCGTATAGAAAATAAAAAAAATATTAATAAAAACGAAATATTTGCTAACACAATTTTAATTCTTATTTTTTTTTAATTCCTTGTTTTAATAAGAAAAAAAATCGATCGTTTGATAGTTACAAACATTAATATTCAAAAATCGTACTGCTGGTGGTTTAATAAATTTTCCCTAATAAAGCTACATAAGTGTACTAGGTGTACTATTTGACTATATCACCTGAACTATATGTCCATTATTTTAGATTTTATAAAAAAAAATTTATAAACGTAGAGATGGACTCATACGTGGATGGATTAAAACGTTTCGACCCTTCGAAACAATTTTTTTTCAATCAAACTTACGTTTATTTGTAAGAAATAAAAGCTTTTTTGTTGTTTGTTGTTAAAAACTTTTAAATCCACCTTAGCATATCGAAAATAAAATTTGATATCGTTAAATGCAAGTGCCTTTTCTATCACTTTTGTTGATTTTTTTGTATACTAGTTCATTTTCCACGTATATGTCCCGAAGTCGATTTTATTCAATTAAAAGATACACAAGAAAATATGTATATACGTATTTCGTTTTAAACGCAACACGTGATCACATTTATCGAAAAAAAAAACAGTACATCATCATCATTATCATCATCATTTAGAAACGGATTAAATATTTCGAATTATTATCCATCAATACTTTTAAGCTACATTTTACTTTACATATAGACATAACGAATAATGTTTTATACGATTTATATATATATTCTCTATACTTTGAAATAATATATGAATGGATATACATATATCAAAGGTAAAGAATATACAAATGCATTTTCGTCTTTTTTTTTTATCGTCATCTATCTTTTTGTATGTTTGAACAATACAAATAATTGGGATACGTGTGCTTTTAATTAAAAAGATAACGACTTCATGTACGTATGATGTGTGTATGTATGTATACATGTTTGGATTCATGTAAAATGGCCAACTTAAAGCCACAAGTTAAATGTTTGCAGTACAGTACAACATTTTATTCGATCCTTTCACAATATTCAATTAAATTTAATATGGATGTCTTCTCGCCTTAAGTGCATTAATCTTCTTTTTCTTCTTCTTCTTCTTGTTTTTTTTATTTTATCTATTTTCTATGTTTTCTTTTTTATGAACTAAACTTTCAGTTAAATCTATGAAAATTGAGATATAAATAAATTCATTCTAGTATGTACACACACAAGTGTAACGTTGAATCATATTGCTATATTCTTCATACATACGTTTAGAGTACCAGACTCTAATTAAACACAAACATATATGGGTTTTTCTTACTTATTTTGTTTCTGTGTCGTTAAGGTCTGTTTTATTTTATGATTTTCTTTTTTTTCATTTTTGGACTTAATTTAATGAGAACTCGTTACCGAAAATTATCGCGTATCAAATTATGCGTTATGAAACCGTAAGTTTAATAATAATACACGAATGTAAACAAAATTTTTATCGCAATTCTAATTAACAAAAATCAACGAATTAAAGCAACGTTCAACTTAGATAAGAAAAAGTTTAATAAGATATGTAACAAAAATATGTCGCGCGAATCATGAATTTAAAAGAGTTATTAATCTTACTAAACTAAATTTGTCTAACATTGGTTTTATTTTATTGTGTCTCTATACGGCAGAGAAAGAAAAACAGATAATAAAAATTATTGCATCGCGCGATAAACGAAACAATTAATATTATTTTTACGATTATCATTCACATTACTTTTCATACGCATCCTATGTCTTTTATGTTTTTAATTTTTGTAGTTAAATAATCGTTGTTATTATAATTCGCTAATCCCCTTTGTAATTGAAACAGTGTCAACTAAAACCAGTTTAGTTGGAGATAAAAGCATACTATTATTATTATTATTAATATTATTATTGCTTTACCTTTTCTTTTTTTTTTTCTTTTTTTTTTTAATAAATTTGTAATTGTAATACGTAAAGTAGTTAGGTTATTTTTCGCTCTTTCATTTTATCTCATTCCTATAAAATAAAAGTGCACCGCTTAAATCATCTTCCAAAGTAATTACAAATTGCAATATGTAACAAAATTTAGATTTCAGCTTCACTTTGGTTAAAGTACATTGTTACATATATTCATATATTAATAGAGAAGATTGTCCGAGTTTAACATTTATATGTTTTATTAAAACATTTATGTTTCTCTTTTTAGAAAAATGTGATAAACAAAAACTAAAATATTATCCATATTTTTACTCTATATAATAATTATAATTACCAGTCTCTCTCAAAATAGCTGATAAAATAATATAAATGAATAAATAAAAATCTATATTAGTGTATTGTATTTATCTATGTTTGCTAGCATATACCATCACATTTTCTCCAAAACTTATGCCATTCTTATTATCTAAAATTACCTAAAGTTTAATATGCACAAGTATTATGAAACAGTAATGGCATATACTAATTACAATTGATAATACCATCTTCTTATCTTAAACTAAAAATAAGTCAGAATGATAATATCAAAAATTTGAGATTGACATCTCAGTTTCTTTTTTCTTCTTATTTTTTTTATCCGCAAAACACCAATAAATCTTTCTCAGCGTTTGTAATTAATAATTATAAATAAAAGGATTGAAAATTTATCTAATTATTTGTTTTTATCTCGATCAGTGTGTGTATGTGTGTGTGTACGTGTATGTGTTTACACACATACTAATTATTTCAATTTTTACAACCGGAAATAAATAACGTGCCGAAAGACGTATAATTGTTATGTCATGAATGAAATAACTTATCATTTCATATCAACGCGATTATTCAAAGCACTTTTTATATCATCGCTTATTTCGCTTGAAATTTTATTTTATTTTCTCTCTCTGTGTATGCCAAGAAAGTTAAACTATTCGAATGCTTTTATAATATCACACTCCGTTCGAAATCCTAAATTCATATACATTCATATTAAGAATTGACAATTACTGCTTAATAGCACTGATATTCAATGTAATCGTTAAAATCTAATGCGCTATGACAGAAGCATCCACGTACGGAAGTGCTGTGTGTGTGCGTGCGCGCGCGCGCGTGTCTGTGTTGTGTGTCGTGTGAAAAGACTACTTATTAGAAACAAAAGATATTTATGTGATATTAATACTGATATATCTATATATCTTTTTTTTTTTTTTATATAATTATTAAAAAAATTCTGTGCGCGTGATTCAACATAAAAAAGATAAAAATATACAACTACAAAAATCTAATATTGCCCAAATAAATAAAAAAAAGTTGATCTTGATTTAACCACTTCCGGTGGAAAGACGTACCAGGCACGTCGAGATGCTTCTGTTACCGGAACGCCAGCGACGTGTTACACACGTCGTCAGGCGATTGTCACAGAAACAAAAACGACATGCATGGCACGTGTCGGTGAATTTTTTTTGCCAGCGCAAGTAGTTAATTAAATGATTCGAAGAATTGTATATTTTCTTACCAATCAAGCAACTGAGAAAAGTTAGTGGATAGTAGATACTTCCACCATTTAGGCAATAGAATTAGACATTTACAGAGCTAATCTGGATAGGATATTTTTCGAAAGAGAAAATTATACGGAAAATTTTTCATAAGCGATAAATATCACGCAGATATTTGGCGTAACGTGTATAAGATAAGGCGATAAGCCTTTATAAAAACCCCTAAATCCTTCTGACCTCCATGTCACCTGAATGCAGTGCCATGTTCCTCTGTAGTCAAGATGATGATCTTGCAAACGTGCCCTTAGTACTTGGTAAGGATATGTCACACCAGCGGCAATCACTTTAGAAACAGCTGCAAAAAGGATGTACTCGAACATATTCTAAAAATAAAAATTTATATTAAGAAGTTTGTTTGAGTTGTTTTATACCGATATGTATAAAATAACGAAAAAATATGTTTCAAGCTAACTCGACAGTAAATATTATATTATACTCTCAGCACATCTGTAGAGTAAATCAATGATCATTAGTTTTTCAAATAACATTACATCTGAAAACTCACCAGCTTTGTATCAATAGGTAAATTCTGGTACACGTTGTATTGATTTTTCATTTCTTCATACGTCATAAACTGTATGGCTCCATGCGATACACCAAACATTCCAGGAACTAAACCCTGCGTTTAACCGATGATTAAATGGCATATTAATATAACAAACTAGTCATATTAGAAAGATATTATTATTGTCTTTAGCGATTAGAAGAAAGCAAATATTATTTCAATTAGTTTGTATAATAAAATTAAAAAGACAAAATAAGACATACCTTGTATAAGCCCCTGATGCCTTCGGTTCTATAAATCTTTTTAAGAGCATCGGTCACTCCTTTATATTTCTTACATTCAGCAAGATTTTTATCCTCAACGTATTGTAAACACAACCGTGTTTTCACTACCCATATTGGATTAGTCATCAATAATGTTAGTAATCCTGCATCCGCAGCTGCCAGCATATGCATAGATGGACCTAATGGTTTTTTCGAATTTCCTCCTTGAATCCATGTCTTTATGTTATTGTAACTGTAGAGGATGAAGTCGATACAAACATGTGTTAGTATAATAAACACACATATTTAAATCGTTTATATATTATGTAAAATATAAATCTCCTATCTCAATATCAGACAATTATAATTTTTCTGAGATAGATAATCGAATTAAAAAGTGTGAGTATATATAATAAAAAAAAAAAGATATCGCAATAAGAAATAATTCCTTACAAAAAGAAATACAATCCCCAAGAGCAGCCTGATCCTAAAACGTTTGGTGTAACTCCTCTATAAAATCCACGTATTCCTTCGCTTTTCACAATTTGCCTGAAGGCATCTACTATACCGTTGTATTGTGGTACTGATGCACGTCCATCGTTAACTACAAAAAACAAAAGAAATAAGAACAAAAATAGTTAAGGATTTTTTTTATAATGGAATAATAATTGCAGAAAATTTAAGAAAAGATTATCCTAACAAAATTGTTTTCTATCTTCTTCTTTATTTTTTCTATATTTTATTTGATCCTTACAATGAAGACGATACTATATCATTGAATAAACAATTAGCTATCCTTTTAACAACAACAAAAGATATCTACGGTCTAATTAGAATGATATATTACAATGAAAAATGTATATAAATCGATTCTCCATTATCACGTGTCAACAAAGTTTATCGCACAGCACCAAGTCTTATTGCAACATCGGCTTTAATTTTATGCCATAACACAGCTAATGATAATCTTTTATTTTTTATTTTCTTCTAGCACAATATCAAATACGTCGATAAAGTTTAAATATAATTTCATATTTTCAATCACATTTTTTTGTTCGTTCTTATCTAGAAAATTCGAAAGTTTCATTTATCGCGATACTAACGTTATCGCGAATAAACGATAATTTCCAATTTTAATCAATTAAATATTTATAGTATAGTTTGTTTTATTTATTATTAAAATAATTATTCCAATATAAATAAATAAATAAGTATAATAGTTTTTGTATTTACGAATTACAAATGGCGACGAAAAAATTGGGTACCATTTGTAATTGGAGAAAAGACTTTAAATTCGGACAAAAAGGTGATTTCTTAATGCAATTTGCAAATACAATCATTTGACATTTGACTTTCGCTTTTGTTGGTTTAAAGAGAAAGAAAGAATGGCATAATTTCACGAGTTCAGTAGTTTTCACGTGCATCTGATGTAATAATAAAGTGGAATTTCTCGCTGTTTGGTAATCGGCCAACAAATTTTACGACGAAAATAATATACGCGTGCGTCTTTTCTGACGAAAACAGCACGTGAGTTTAACACATCAGAATTAGAAAAGAAGATAAATAATATTTACATTCAATGCATAACGTTTTTTCTAACCTAACAAGATTGTTATTAAAGATCACCGCGTCTTTATCGATCGATTTATGCGAAAAATAAACGTCATTCTTTGTAATTGTTCTAAGAATTATATCTATACGTATTTCATACATAATGCATGCATACATATTTAATAGGTATGAAAAAATAATTTGTTGATAAACATAAGACAATAAAAAAAAAAAAAAAGAAAAAATAAAGAAGAAGATAAGAACGATATTTAGGTTGTCAGTAGGTAAAGAATCAAATAAAAATTAGTAGCTTTTATTTAAAAAAAAAAAAACAAAATTTTTCAACCACCCTCGTATATATGCAAGTATGTGTGTATCTATGTATATATGTATATATGCATGAATAATAAATCGAAAATAAAATATAATGAACAAATAAATATATACAGTTCGTGTTAATGTACGAATATATGTATATAGATATATATATATATATAGTTTCGTTTTAACTTCAATAGATAAGTAGGTAGATGATAATGGATATTAATGCTCACCTGCCAATCTAATTTTGATTAGATCTAATGGATGAAGGGTCAATGTCGAAACAACGCCACCGGATATACCGGCGACAAAATATTCATACTTGAAACGACTAAGCGTTGGCAGGATACGATTAGTCCCTGTTGTATTATTCGCTTGAATCTTCGACATGTTAGCGTCAACGTTCTGTTGATATTCAATGTTCGTTACCGCTTCTTCAACTTCAATTGCAACGGCATCCTCGCCGGTACTACTAGCGATGTACGTCTCCAATCTTCGGCATAATTCTTGATCCGCGACAGGCACTGTCTTTGTATTACCAATGTCTAACAAAGATGAATCGTTGTTCACCGTCTTGTCGCTTCCTTTATTTTCTCTATTTTCTTCCACGATTTTAACTTATTTATATAGATTTCTCAAATTTATACTATTCCCCACGTTATGTATCTTTTTCTATTTCTTTTCGTTCCTCCTTTCTTATTCCAGTCTTATTCTCTCACAAGTAATAAGTTATGTAACGAAAGACACGACACGCACGTCGAACTCCGCCATACTGAAAGGAGAAGACGAGATTTATTCGACTCGAACCTTCTGCGCATACTCCAACACTGATCGAGTCCGAAATTTTCCGACTTTCCACGATATTAACCGAACGTCAAAGCAATGCTAACCCTTCCCATGAAGCCAACGTTACTTCGAAAAACTACCTAAAAATATCAATACGATGTGAGTAATTATAACTATCTGTCACTTTCTTTTCTATTATATATACTAACACATACACTTTTTTCGAATTAAGCAGTTTAATATGACTATATATATAAATAAACTAAGAAATAATTCTTTTCTACTCATTTATTCTCATAGCAATGATTCTATAAACTCTAGAATATAAAGTAAGGAATATTGCTTGCTATGCAAAAAGTTACTAGTGTTGGCCCATGCTATTGTTCCATAACCTATAAAATTGTGTCATTTATCTTTGATATATGTTGATCCATTGTTTATAAAAAACTAGATCTTTTAATAATATTGATACACACACACATATTATTTCCTTAAATGGAATTTATTAAAACATCAATGAGAATTCTCTTATGGCAAAGAAATGTAATGAGCAAACAAATAATGAATAAACTATGTACTATAAAAGTAGCTCGAGAATCGTTATCCGAACAAAAATTATCGAGCCAAAGTATACTAGATAATCAACAGAAAAATGAAACATTATTAAACATGACAGAAACTTTATCTCCATTGTTTGAAACTGATAATCCATCGGAGAATTTATTTTTAAATATACGCAATGAAATGACTAATAAACATTTGATACCAGAAAAAAGTGTCGACCTCAAAATTTTGGAAGCATGTATAAAAAATAATAAATTTGAAGCAGCCAAATCTTACTTCGAATATTTAAAAAGCAAGAATTATCCTATCAGTAATTTTATTCTATTGAAATATCTGCATGTATTAAACTCAGGAGAATTGCCAATATCGAATTCCATAGAGGAAGATATTATAAATATATGTAATAAGATACAGAAGGATTATGAATGTTTACCTTCTTCGATTTTACTAACTTGCGTTCATGCTTTATGTATGACTAGTAAATGGGAAATGACATTTGATTTAATTAAAGTTAATGGTACAATCGAAGATGTTACTCCTGCCACGTTGTCACATATAGCAATGGCAGCATTTAAAAATGGGAAAACAAAGATTGGATTTGAATTTCTAGAACAACTAGCAATTAATAATAATATTCATGGGAGGATTACTATATACAATATATATTTAGATTATTATTTGCTAAATGAAAAAAAAGAATTGAACAATGCGATTCACAAAATATTTCATTTTTGGAAGAAACATGATGTTGTACCAATAACATCTGTTATCAATAGATTTGTAGATGTTTGTAAGGAAGCAGGATGGGAGGGACATTATGTTAGGATTTCAAATAAGTATGATATACTACTCTTTTAATATTTTTTTTATTTTACTCAAATATATAAAACTAATCAATATTTTATTCATTGTAGTGGCCAATGCAGTCATTGCCAAAATTATTTATCATCGATTACTTTACAAAGTAATTTTAACAAACTATCTAAAACTATAATTAATGACATAATAATAGGTGACGATATTTTTCAAAAGACCTCTCCAAAGGAATTGAATAATTTTAAAAGTTTTATTAGAAAATTCAAACCATTTGACATTGTGATAGATGGTCTTAATGTAACATTAGGCAAGACTCAAATCGTAAGTGCACAAATATGATAATGCATACATATATATAAATAATAATAATAATAATAATAATAATAATAATAATAATAATAATAATAATATTAATTATCATCATCATTTTTTTATCCATGTTTAGCTGGATCTTCTAATAACAAAATTTACTGTAGAGGGTAAAAAAGTTCTGATCATTACACGACAACATCAATATAAATCGAACAAATGGATATTTAATCAGGATAACTTCTATGTTTACTTTCTTAAAAATAAGTAAGTTCTATTTATGTTACTAAGAAATAATTTGTGGATCTAATCCCTTGCGCTATGATTTAATACACAGAATTGCTTGGCATATTCAGTGCTTCCTATATTTATTTGGTGAGAATCACTATTGGTATAATCTGTGTTTCTCATGTTTGGGTCATAAAACGTATCACGAGTCTCACATGTTATTGTAGTGCAAGGGGTTAATTTTAAAATACAAATCAATATTTTAAATTTTATATTTTATAGCACGCAGGATGATCCTTTTATCTTATATGCAACATTATCTAGTGGAAATAATTCGAAGTTTGTTTCTATCGATCAAATGCGACAACATCATCATAAACTCAAAAAATTTAATTTACAAAAAGAATTTATACGGTGGCAATTTAGTCATCAATATACTTGGTATTTTGACAATGTAACTAAAAAGCTTATTGTGGTAGAGCCTATATTGTATAATTCTTTTGCGCAAGTTAAAAATGGTCATTGGCACATACCTTATAAAGATTCGATGAAAGCGTTACACAAGCCTGCTGAAACATGGGCCTGCTTACATTGTCCTAATGAATGATTAATAATAAATATATTCGTTTCAGTGATTAATCCAGTCTTTTTTTTATAACATTCCCTTAGTAATATTTCATTACTATTTCGCAAATAATCAATATTGTATTTTATAATATAAATACATTAAAATTTTATTATAGAATATAAATGGAATGATAAGTAAATGTACTGTAAAAACATTTTAAACGAAAAGTTTTCTTTTAATATAGTAAATATTATTTTATTAAGATAATGTATTTTGGACTAGGGAATATATAACTTAATTTTTAGATAGTAATTTATTCAATGAAATAATTTTATAGTGAATTTGTCAAATAAGAAGTTTTTCAAATAATTATTGTAATATAATTTATGCAATAATGTATATGTTATTGTTTAATCAATAACAATATGTACATGTGTTTTATGTATCTGGCTTTTCTATATATATATATAACTATATTTATTTAACTTGAAAAAAAATATATTCAACGGTACCGCCATTGCGGAAAGATAGTACACATACGATTGGAAGATGGTGCATTGATCAGCGTAGATGTCGCATTAAGAAAACTGTAAGTGAGTATTATACAAACGGAGCTTGATGAAAGAAGACGATCGCAATGTTATATATGTGGCTAGATATACACAATGAGAGGATGATTTCTATTGCCACTAGAGAGCGCGTCGATTCGCATGATCTGATTTTTCAAATTTGAAAAAACCTATCTTTAACTTAGAAAAAAAATAGATAAATAAGTCGAGGAAGTAAATAAAAAATTATAAACTTAAGAAAATGGAATAAATGGTTATGATATCACAAAGTCAAGAAAAAATAACAATAGCATGAAAAAAATGTCGATAAATCATCCTATATATCTGTACAAAAATTGTGAAATGGAATCAATTTATCTTTAACTCAATTAGTATAAAAATGAATAATATTGCATGTAAAACGTGAGAAAAACATCAAAGAGAACTATTTGTTTCATTTGTTTATTTATAAAATCACACGTACTTAAATTTGAACTTATGAACACTACTGCCGCCCTCGTGGAGAATTATCGTACTCGGTATTTAGTCATTTTCAACAATACAAATTCGACGAAAACTCCTATCTCGATCGTCCTCCTTGTATATAGCTTCGTTATTATACAGTTCATGTACATTTTCTGGTGCGTGCGCGTGTCAGTGCAACAGGTGTCGCGATATTTTACCTTTCTTGCCTGTTTCTTAACGACCTTGAAGTTTGCGAATATTATGTTTTTTAATGATACCACCGTAAAACCGTAAAACAAAAAACGAGTGAATTTTCTTCACATGATCTATCATTTTTTAATGACTGTATTGTGTCATTAGGAAGTGTTGTGCTATCGTTGAAACACGAACGAGATAATTTGCATATAAATACCTTTAAAATACCATAAGAAAAAGAAGAAGAAGAAGAGGGGACAATGTTGTCATTGGTAAGCACGATATTATTTCTCATCATCTTTGTCTTATATTTTAAACATTGATTTACGTGTCGACACGATAAAACGTTGCTGCGATCGAACATATTTTATTTAATCCTGTCAATCAAAATAATCCTTAAACAATAGTTTTGAAATATACGGTACACATGTACGTCACGATGCCAGTACGCGCCATTTTCATTTGCCACACGTGTAATTCGAAAATCGCGGCACTTTCTTCACCTCTATGATGAAACTCGATTTTCGAACGATTATTCTTCAGTTATAAATCAGTAAATACTTGAAATATCCTAATTACCGCGATTAATGTAACATTATTATAAAATTACGAGAAATTGAGTAAAGAACGTTCGAAAATATTCGATGAAAATTCAAAAACGGTTATTTCGTAAGTTTCCAATATGGCCGCCGGTACTGTCATCTAAGGCGAGTCCAAGATATACAAGTCACGTAAGAAGTAACTCGTTAAAAACGTTTTAAATGAAACGTTTTAAATGTAAACTTGATTGATACAACGATTAGAAAAAATACGTCTTACGTGGCTTCAAATTCTATGAAATAGGATTTTAAAAAATAGTGTGTTTACGTGTAAGAATATATATGTAAGTTGTGTATCTATGTATGCCTGAAGAACATCGATCGAACGAGGCCAAGATCTGTACAATCGATTTATCTCGGATGACACATTCCTTCCTATTAAAAGGTATTAAAAGGGTTTTTATCTGAAGTTCATATTATAATTATTGATATTATTTTACGTGTATATCCGTGTCAAATTATCGAATATTATTGTCTTAGGTGATAGGTAGGTGGCAGCAAAGGTATCGCGTGTATAACTCTTACTATTATTTACAATAGATTTTGCTTTCCCTATATATCTATTTATTTCTATTTCTTTTTTATCGTATATGTAATTATCTAAAAAAAAACAGTAATAATAATAGTAAAACGGGAGTTAACTCAAAATATTTGCGTAGTCAAATTTATTATGATTATTATTAGATACGGTGTTATATTGATCGCTTATGACTCACATTTTTATTAATAATTTGTTTAAAAAATAAATAAAAGAAGGAGAATTTATTGTCGAAGAAAGGAAAAGAATTGTTGCAAATACGTGGGAAAATAAAATCGAATAAGTAAAGCATAATAAATTGTTGAATAAAATAATTAAATTGTTTCGGAAAACGAGCAAAAGAATGAATATATAATATATATATATATATATAAAAAAAAGAAATTAGTCACAAAGTCAACGTTGAACAAAGTAAAATTTTACAATCGTTTGAAAAATTGTATGAATTTGTGTTATAAATTAAAATGAGGTTTCCGAAGCGCTCAAGTAAAATTATTTTCGGCGAAAGTTATGCGACTGGACGTAGAGCCAAGAAAAAAGAGAAAGAGAATTTCGAGGAGAGGAAAAGAGGAGGACAAGAGGAAGAAGGAACGTTCGTTGCTCCGAATTCCCATATCGAAGAGAGGCACCGATCATTCTCTCCATTTCCATTTAAATTCACATCTTTGGTGATACGCAAGGCTTCTGAGAAGTGACTCATGTCAGCAAGTATTTAAAGTATATACGTATGGGAGTACGTAAGTATTTAAGTATATGTATACACGTATGGAATTCTGAGAATATGCGTTCCTGATCTCTCTCTCTCTCTCTCTCTTTCTCTCTCGTTTTTTTCTTTTCTCTCTTTAGTATATTAATTATAAATTACGAAAAGGGTGATGAACGATCTTCAGAACGCATGGATTTCTTAGGAAAGATTTGATTAATTCACGTTGAAAATAAGTTTCGTCTCTTTCTTCTTGTTCAGAATTGTTCATTGAGTTCGTCTTCGGCAGCCTTTGACACGTTGCATCATTGCTTTGATCAATTTAACAAGAAAGACACTCACGAGTCTTTTAACGAGTCTAAAATATCGCTGTTAAAAGCAGATAAAAATCTATGTAGTTATGATGGAACAGAAAAAGTAAATATCTTTTTTTTTTTTTATTAATAGAGGAGAAATAGTAATTGAAAAATCGAACAGATCATTTGGATAGAAATGAAAAAGCTTAAATGAAAAGTCAAAAGATACTAATCTTTCAATTCAATTTTAATTTATTTAGAAACAAAAGAATATTTATATACGAATATGACAATTAGAGAAAACACAGATACCTTAATGTACAAAAGGTTTTCTTTTTTAGAGAGAGAGAGATAGATAGATAGTAATTTAACAATCAAATATAAATTTTAGATAGATTATTTTGTTAGAAATGCGTTACAAATGTGATCGAAACTTGAAAGAAAACAAGAAGCTATAAGTCATTAACACTAGATTTACTAGATCAGTCAAAATGACTGGTCTTGCAATTTCAATTTAAAATTCCTACTGCATTATTTTTCAAAGTGAGAGAAAGGTTTATATTATTACGTTAGTTGGTTTTTTTTAAACTACTATAACGAACAATTAAATTTTGTTTGTAGAGCACGTTCTTGTTCGTGTTCGTGAACGATAATGAACAAAGATTCTCTTTGTGTAAGAGAAAATATTTAAACGGTGTGACAAATGGCCACGCGCGACTCGTTCCGACCTTCGACGAGTTTACTTCGAGTTCGCTAAAGGTGAACTAGAAGGTACAAGAAACCGACAGGTAGTCGTGTGTCAGGTGTTGACGGGTCACGTTTCTCCTAGAACCGCTTACCTCGTTAATCCAACGTAACTGCTGACGCCATCAACCTCGTAATCGAATGTTTACCGTTTAGACATTATTTTACATTTTTTCTTTTTATTATTAGTGGAATCTCTGAAAAATATTTAACCAATTTATTTTTATTCTTTTCTCAATATAACTTTATGAATTTTGAATAATTGTTATTATTGTGATAAAGATTTGTATAAAGAAAAAAATGAATAACAAAGGACAGAAAAAAAAGATGATAGTTTAAACATATTTTTCTTGTGATATATATTATTAGTATTATTAATTTTGATTTGAAATAAGGAACACTTAAAAACTGAACACTTAAAAGCTCATTGTCTCTTGCCACTTGATATCAAAGTAAGTTGAACATAAAAAAGAAAGAAAGAGTAGAGTAATTAAAAAGAAAAGATCAAAAGAAAAGTAATCGAAGTTAAATGAAAGTACTTTTCGTTTTATACGATTAATCGGCGCATTGTTTACTGCTCGAATAGAATGTTTCTCTCCCTCAATCGTAACGAGAGAATGAACCCTAAAAAGGGGTATGTTCAACCACTCTGTTAAATGTATTAATTAAATGAACTAAATATCATTGCAAAAGTGAATGGGTAATTCACACACACACACACACACACATTAGTACATATGTATAATAGTATCGATCAGAGTTAGAGAAGAAACCCGTTTTTCCATCGTAGGCGTTAGAAAAATTTTGAACCTACGCGAATTGAACGCATTTGGTCTGTTTGACGAGGACGACTAGGAGATATGTTAGTCAGGTTATTGTGGGCAAGACTTTGCATAACTGAGCAACATGTTATTTGTTTGATCAAACTCGGCCAATGGAATCGCGCGCGAACGAGGAAACGAATAGTTTTCTTTCATAAATCAGTCGACTAGCAGCTATCGACGTGTGTCTATTACTATAGTTTCGATATCAAAAGAAGAAGTCGTTTTAATTAACAAATTGTTGACTGGTTATAAATACAATTAAGTTTACATACAATAAAAGTATCTGTTGAATATCTTATAATACAAAATTATTTAATTATTATTTCTTATCCAATGAATTATTAATCTTAAAATTGTTGATATTTTCATTTTCAATTTAATTTTCACTTAATTTGAAATATAATCAGTTAACGAGGTGCGATAATTGTGTTCATTTTATTTAGTTCAATGTATTGATCTGATATTTGGAACATTTATACGTTTCATTATGTTATATATAAAACGCGTGTGTAACTTTATTGTATATATTTTCATTGCTTTTCCAATGGTTTTGTGTTTTTAATATAAATAGAGAAATCAGAGAGAAAGAGAATTGTGTTTAGTTTGAGTGATCGTGAAGTTTTATTAATTGGGAATTTATTTGAAGATAACTTACAATTAGCTAGCACAGTACAAGAGAGAGAAAATCATACGAGGATGCAGAAAATCAACACCAGTAGGCATAGACCTGGATAAGATAAACTTTTATTCTTTTTTATTCGTACTGTTGATACATACTTACCCTGTTGCACGAAAGTACTTTTCTTATCGCCAACGTTGCTACACTCTTTTCAGATAAGCTTCTACCTAAATAATACGCGTTATTAGTACGCTTTACAAAAGTATCATTGTTACATGAATATTTTCTCTTGTTTTTGGCACGATTTAAAAAATTCATTTGAATTTGTCGTTAAAAAACAATTTGATATTAAAGAATAGTTATTTATACTTCAAACGATCAATCAAATAATTAACAAGCTTTCAACAAAAGTTAGATATTTTTTTGGGGTATTATTTAAATACAGATATAACATTCAAGAATAGATTAAATAATTATCTCGATAAAATGATATAATAAATTAATATTAATAATGATAATTTATTGCAAAGGAATGATATTGAATGTAGAATTAGCGACAAGAAATTTCAAAGCAGGTTCGTGATACGGTTCGAGCGTTAAATTGTTATTTTAATTTTGTTTTTAAATGTGCAATTAATATAATAAAAAATAAGTAAAATAATTTCTCTTACCGAGAAAGTATACTCGCGTTGCGTACGAACGTGCCAAGCCAAAAATAATATATTACAACGACATTTTAGTAAAACATAAAAATGTTTCTTTAAGAGATACGTATTATTTTTCTTGACCAATCGTGATACGTTAGGTAAAGACAAATTAGGCAACTTTATCGAATCAGGAACAAGATTTACGCATAATAATATCGTCGAAACGTAGTTGAATAACCTCGATAATGTATTACACATATATACGGAGAAAAGATAGGCAATATTTCTCTTCCCGAATTAGC